TGAGTATTTTTTCTCACTCAACCCCCGTAGGTTATCGCTGGAGCCGCGTTGCTTTTTATATGATCTAGCCATAAGCATACCAGTAGTAACGTCTAACATAATCAAACTAAACTCTTCTACTATAACTTGTATTTTGAATGTATACAGCTGTTTTTGGCTTCATTACTATAGGATGAACAGCTCCCCCACAAAAGAGGTCAATTTGTTCCAACCCTATTTACGGATTCCATAGTTCAAATTTTCCTGGCTCGCTCCAACTTCTACCGGGCCAAACAACAAGACTTACGCTCTTCGAAGCATCGCCAATATCTGAGACGTGAAAAGCCTCAATAGACTTGGCTCAAACCGTAAAATTTAACTTTTTGATGCAGGTTGTTTCTAGTACTATGACGCATTTTTCGAAAATATGGCCCCAATAGGGCCCGTCCCAAGAGGCAGACACGCGAAAATCGCTTTGTCACCAATGTGTAAAACTTCCTGCTTATAGTGTTAATGTGGCTTGGAGCTTTTCGCAGTGAAAAGGCTAACCCTGTATTACTGAAGTCTGGGCTGAAGGTGAACCCTAATTGCTACGTCTAGCAACCTGATAAAGACATTCTACCGGTCACTTCGTCTGCTGTGAAGCCCGGGTTCCGGTTATATGGGCCGAAGGGTTGAGCATACCGTTTTCTGAACGATTCAATCTGTCTTGATTAGCCAACCAGCGTTGGGCGGCAACAGCCAGGTGGCCACAGTGACCTGTTATGCAACCGTGATTGGTGAGAATTACACAGCAGTCGCACATCGAAGAAGAGCTGTCACCTGCTTCAAAGCCAACAACTAAATTGATTACCCTTCAACTCTAAGCGGAAATTCCCACCTAATTATTCAACGGCATCCCTAACCGATCGTGAAATACCGTAATATTAATTCCATTTAGTGAAGGCATGAGAATATTCTGCCAGCCTGACAAGAAGCAACTTTGAGCTCACCGGAATCCGCAAGTTTGTAATCCTCTCACATAGTTCTTTTTAGCATAAGTTCTGCCCATACTCGGTAACTGAGAAGGATGAGGACAGGCGATACGCTCTGCCGTCTTTTTCAGCCTCTCCACAGATTATTTACATCTGACTAGCGCTCTAGTGTGGCAGCCAACATTTCCGCTCATACTCGGCTTCTGAAGACGACGATTCAGTCGAAACGTTAGCCATTGAAGCAACTGTTCCACCGAAAACCTCGTAAGGAACAACAACTTTACACAAGCCTTACAACTAACATGCCGAGGTTACAAGAATAGAGAAGTTGGAGAACTTTTCACACTTTCCACTCGGGCAAATGAACCTTTCTAAACACCACACACTCGCAACCAGGTTCTAGTGAATAGGTAGAGGATCATCACCAGTCAGGAATTTCAGAGTATAGTCGTCTATGTCGCTGCACTAACAAGCCATTGTAAGCCCTCTATCCAGAGCGATGCGTTTGAGTTGGCTGATCATCTCAAAAATAAGGGATGCTGCCCAGGGATCCTATCGTTAGATCAAAGCGAAATGCACAGTATTGGGCAGCCTTAGGGAAAGAGGCGCTGCTTGGCCGCTTTAGCAGACAAACCTGGAGAGACGGGTCAGGGAGGGGGGGGGGGGGGGGGGGGGGGGGGGGGGGGGGGGGGGGGGGGGGGGGGGGGGGGGGGGGGGGGGGGGGGGGGGGGGGGGGGGGGGGGGGGGGGGGGGGGGGGGGGGGGGGGGGGGGGGGGGGGGGACTTAGTCGAAAAAATAACATTTTCAGAGAATCGTTTCGGAAAACAACCAAGCGGATCTCCTAACGCATGAAACGCTGCTTTTAGTAGTTGTTATAGACAAATGTTAGTACGGTAACATGGTGCTGAGTACGTTATGTTTACATAATATCACATCAATCATTGTATCTTCAAAAATTCTTCCACCATTCGCGGACGAAACGCTGGGGGGGGGGGGTGCCGCTTTGGCGGTTGACTGTGCAGCTCTAGGAGCAGGGAGGTATCGCTTGCGACACTTCATCAAGCAACCTTGCCAGGCCTTAAAGGAGGCCATCTGGTCAAACGCCGGGCCGTTAATGAACTTTCTACTCAGAACACTTCGACAGGGTCGGCAGGGGAGAAAAACCATGGAATATAGAAACGGTGAGAGATATTGTGAACAAAGGAGGGTTTTTTAGCTATGCTTCTAACCGTGAGGGTCGACGCTACGCAAAACTCGTCCAGTTTTACAAATGTTCTTTGTTTTTTCTTCGCATTCCATTAGTACCTTTTTCTACCCAACCCAAAATTCCTTCGATTAGCACTTTTCACTGTTCTCTAGCGGTAGGCATACACTTTATTTCAAACGTTTGGCTTACCTTTGATTACCAGTCCTTAATTGTTCTTTAGCAAAGAGCGTACCCACTATTCAACAGGTCTGCATACCAACAGCCGACCATAATTGTTCCAGCTGGCACGTAGTTCACGTGACAGATTCATCCTGTGCGCATGCCTACGGTATCATCGCCATTATCAGGTTCATCGACGAAAGTATCGCGTGGTGCTCATCGGATTGGTCGCATATGGCTAGCTGTCAGATGCTATCGCTGACATTTCCACATTGGCCGGACACCCCGGGGACACCGCCCTTTGATGACATAATCTATTCAGAAGGACATCAAAGCGCCACCATGACATCAGTTTCCGTTCACCGTCACGGCGGCGAAGGCGACGCGTGTCATCCCATTAATTGATCATTATTTGAAACTGTCTTGCATGATCGAGACTGGGGAGTCCACAGGGAATTCTGGAAAGGTTTAAAGGCACAACCCAGGCAGAAGTTGTGTGATAATTCCCTTCGGTCTGTAGGATAGACCCTAGAGGACAATCACAAATGTGGCATTCCCGTGCACGGAAACAACCGACAAGAGCGCTAGGGCCTTGCAAAGTAAGCTGCAGCAGCTGCAGTTTTTTCTTGTTGTCTGGCGCCTCTCATCTGTTGCGCTCTCTCGCCTCATACTCTCCTCTCCGCGCTTAGTCTCTCATTCCCTTAGCACAGCCGATTAGAAGGTGAGTGAGCCCTTAACCTGAGCGTTTTCGACAAATTCTTTCCTTTTTTCTTTACTGCCGGCCCATTTGGCACCATTATGGGCATGCCTTTATTCTTCGTGGGACAGGAATCGTCGAAGAAGTTTTGAAAATTATGGACGAAAACATTTATCGTTTCCCATTTCTGATTGAGAGTGAAGTGCAGTTCGATAGTCGTTCGGTCTTCGATGTTATTTTCAACCCTCTAGTTTTTAAAACAATACTGGAAGAGAAAACAAAAGTAAAAGTCGCATTTTAAGGGTTTACCCAATATGAATAACTTCCTAATTCACCAGTGCCACGCAAAATCCGCCAAATGCAGATATCCTCGGAGTTTCAGGGACTAAAAAATGCACTCGGCTAGATTGCTCGCTTGTATATAGGTTTTAGTTTCGATTGGGCAACGAAACAAATATGTGGCTAAATAAGCATCTTAAAGATCAATGTATTCGTTAGACCTAAAGGTTCTGAATGCCAAAAGAAAACAAGAGCGTATTTGAATAAGAGATTTGGTGTACATTTGGTGCAAAGTTCATGCCACGTACAGTAAAACGAGTTTTGCAGAAAGGAAATTCTGAGGTGTGCGTGTAATGTAATGTGGAAGCAAAATCAGCAATAAATAAATAGAATCGTCTCCCCTCTTCTGCTCCCCAGCAAAATTTCGGATTTGCTGTGAGGCGACACGATATGTTGCACCTAAAGTGCCTGCTTATTCAAATTGACTCCAAAATAAACTTTACGTAGATATTTCGAGACCAAAACGCCAATCCAGAAATCTTTACTTGACGGAGTTAATTACGTGACCACATAGTTTCGCGCAGATGAATTCGAATCTGCGCTATTCGTTCCGCGATGGTACCGTAGACTAGAAAGTAGGGCTGAGCAATTGTAAATGGTGCCAATCTAAGCGTTGAATTGCAATTAATTGATGGGTTTTTGTCGTAGGAAATTTGCTTCATGTAACGCTTACGCAACGCAACTGGCACCTTGCCATCTGCTCCATGAAAAATTACGAGACGAGCGACACCGCACTGCAAATGGCTTTGAAATCATGCTGCTAAGAAAACGTGATGAGCAGTAAAATCACAAGTTTTGGCGATGAAGCGGGCGGAAGCATGAATGTTCATAATTCAGATCCAAGGATTTAATTTTTTTTCTTCTGACGAAGTACGATTCGGACCAGGATCACTCGAGCAGGCCGCCATCTTGGAGGATAAACCATTGGCTCATTTATGAATTAGCTGGTCCCAGTAATCCAATGTATAGACCAAATACTCAAAAAAAATATAAATGATAGAAATTAGAAATGTAACTACAATCCTGATTGGAAAATGAATGCGATGAATTGCCTACTGCACATGTACTGCTGTACGGTGTACTGCTTATCCCTGCTTTTCCGAGGAATAAACCTCTACGCGACAGGACGAAGTGACACCCTTATGCTCAAGTGATACATAAATCAAGAGTCCAAACCATACTAGAGATCTCAAATCAAGAAGCCAATCCGCAGAAACTGTCCCACTTTACTGCACTTGGTTTGCTTTTTATTTTAATTGGTTTACCAATGTACTTCAGAGCTCATTCATTTCAATTTTTATCGCTTTTCTAGAACCACACGACTATCAACGACTGTTGTGCTGCCCACGCACCGATAGCGAACTAGGGACTTTTTTCAAAAATAACAACGAAGCATTAAAAGGTTTAAAAGTGATCTACCACAAAGCTCACAGTACTGACATTAATTTGGAGAACACTGAATTTTGAATTCGTCCTCACTGAAACCCTAGCAGGGAAGCACTCTTGATTCCACCATGGAGAAAAGTCAACAAAAAAAAAACAACAGAAACATTCAGTGAAATGTTCATAAGCATAAACCAGCACAATTTATTTAACAACATTTTTAACAGAAACAATACCTTGAGTATCATGAGGAGGAAGAATATCATACAACACCGTTATAAATAAAGTTGAACCTGAAAATACCACATATCAAGCAGAACACTCCAATCTTGAAACTAAATGCGGCAAAGCGAGTTCACGTACATTTTCCACATGTAATCCATACTAAAACTCGGCGAAAAAGCTTACACATAAAAAACGCACCTACTAAGAGCCATTGGTAAGCTCGCAATTAGTGGTCCATATGCAGCAGCGTTGTCATACAACTCGAACAAAGGTGCCGCAACCAATTTGTAATTCTTCGGCACAGCAAACATTGCTTAAAACAGTTACTAAGAAAGGCAATAAAAGAAAATCCGTACTATCAGAATTGTAATCAAGAATCTTTCCGATTATCAAATACTAAAGGGGACAAGTGGAACCAAACGACCACTACCGTTCATGAAACGAAGTCCACCAAAACAAACCTTTTTCTGGCATCTGCACAAGGAGCAGCTTTGTGTGTTCTTTTGGTTTCGTGACATGAGCAGGGATGTATGGGTACTGAAACAGCACTATTGCTCAGAGGTATGAAAACATAGACAAAAATTTTGAAATAATTAGTATATGACAGGACGGGTGATAGAAGGTGCTGCCGTTATTCCAAGAAGCTGCGTAAATTTCATTAAAGCCAAAGGGAAGCGGAACTAAACAAAACGATTTTATAAACGACCGAAAGCCATAAGTACTAGTTACAAGAAAAATCAAATGGTCTCTAATAAAAGCAGTAATAGTAAAACTTAATGTCATAATCCAATAGAACCCAAATAATATTTAATGTTTTAAGCAAAGAAAAAAAAACGTAGTTGAACTTTTCAACATCTTTTGATCGTTCGAAATCATCACAAATTTAATGTGTTACGTATTTTCATAATCAAGAGAAATCATTCTGGTTCTCAATAGCTAGTTCTAAAGTAGAACTTTCAATCAGAAGAAGTTACACTAAATCAGTCCTCCAAGCCAAGCCAAACTCTCAAATTCCGTTCATAGTCGGCGAAATGGTCGCTTGACTCCGTCACGCGAGTGAGTCGTTGAGTCTGGATGCGAAATAGTTAGCCATAGCCAGACCTTTTGAGATATGACTTTGCTTAGAAATTAGAAAGCATACTTATTCTCAGCACTTTTTGCGATGTTAACTAACAACGATTGGAATTAATTAGTTGAAAAAACTTACTCGAGGAGGGTCGAAATTTGGTCTCCACCAATTGCCAACTTCGTCCTGCAAATCATAAATATTTATCGGTTACAGTTTATATAGAAAGAACAAAAAGTATACCGTCTAACACACTGGTTGCGTAACTAGTAAAATAGCATACTTCCCAAAAAACATCGGTAATGATGGGTTGATTCAAAACTATACGTCGCTTTCTTTGGCTAATGGCTTTCATTGTCTTTTGTTATTTCCAATGATTTGCATTTCATTCGCAAGGCCATCTCCGAACTTTGTTGGTGTATCACATTTTTATATGTGCTCTAGTATAGCACTTACATGCTAGCAACAAGGACAGACCTTCCTAAACAGCTTCTTAAACAAACTCTTGCGGTCGGTCAGGTATTTACTTGATTGCAACCTTCAAATTCATACACAGCGAAACTTTCTTGAGTGTTCTGACTCACACCTTAAAGCCACACCATCGCCCCGTGTTCTACTGATTCGGCGAGCAGCCGCTACCACCCGGTTTTGAGCTTATAGAAGCGGAACTTATAGTCATGCAGCATTAGCAATTTGTTCTGTTAGCGTAAACTCCACAGCGGAGCACCCAGAAGCACAAAATCTATATGCCACAGCGAACGAGTATTGCGGGCTTTCGGTTGACATCAAAATCACCTATATCAATCAAAAATATTAGTAAAACCTTTGGCCAAAGTACAAGGCGGATAGTTCTGGACCATAATAATAATTACACATTTTGAAAGAACCAAGTATTACCTCAATTTTCCATTCGTTTTTTACCCCATCTGTTCTTCCAAGAGTGAGATCAAGCAATCGTTTCATCCCTTCGGTCTCCTCCTCTCCTACTTCAAGCTCTCCGCCAGGTCTGCAAATGACTTTGTTGAAAATTGCTAACATAAGGGTGCTTGTAACAAAGTCGAAGGTAACGGGAGTAAATCGAATTTCAGTGAAGCTACGATCACTTCTAAGAGAATACAGCGTCTATGAGGAGAATCTCTGCATACGTTCTCCAAATACTAGTACCTAATTTGCCTCTTCTACCAAAACGTTCGGAAAACAAATGTGAAAAAAAACATAAAGATATCAAAACGCTTACAGCTTGAAAAAGGTACTACCAATCTGCAGCAGGAGAATGTGAGGGAGAGAGTGCTCGTGAACGATCAATACAGCATCTACAGAACGTCTCATTCCCACCTGGAAATGCAGCATGGACATTTTTCATGCATTACAAGGAAGTATTCGACTATAGGACCACAGACAGATGACTTCACAAGGTTGCATATCCTTACCTTTTCATATTCCTCTCTCATCCGTTGAAACCGCGCTTGCACTGAATGATCTCTTTCCGACTGCGCATCCTTTGTACCGAAAGTATAGTTCGACAGCGGGAATCTAAGCGAGAAATGAGCTAGTAGCTATACGATTTCAAGAAAAAAGTCACAGTCATTCTATAAAATGTGAGTCTTAGATAGATGGTAATGGTACAGCTGGGCAAGATCCGAGCGGGCGAGCAAAGAAGAAAAAAAAACGTCAATTTTCGCCCTACTTATACTCTGGAACAGTTGTAACTGTCGTCACTGGAAATTGCAGCTCAGGAGTGTGC